TATTTTTGATTACTAGCCTGATAGCTTTGATATTTGACTGAAATAAAAATTAAAAATAAAATACTAGTCTATATTTTTTGACTATAATAAAAAGGACTCGGTGGGGCTTGTTGAGATATTCCCTATGTGAAAACCATTTTATCTTTAACTGATGTGTAATAACTAATTAACGGCTGTTATCTTGTTTCTTATGATTTGCAGGAAGAACTTATTCAAAGACAGGAACACGAGATCGCTTCATTGTACGCTGTTCAGAAAATGGAGTGGGAATGTAAATTAAAAGATCTTCGTTTGTACGACGGGAAGAATCCGCCATTGGTCAGCAAAGACCATGTACCGATAGTAGAAATCAAAAAAGAGTTTGATCTGCTGCCTGCGTGACAGTTACTGCATGCCATGAGAACTAGAATCCCAACAAATATCACCAGTTTAAAAAGTCTTTAACCATAGTGAGGCTCGCTGGGTCATGTCGTGCATCTTTGCCAATCTGACTTTGCCAGCCTCACTTTAATGCCACATTGGCACTCGTATTTTATTTGATTTCATCTCTACACATTGAATGGTGTTTTGAAGAGCTGTGTCTGCACCAAATGTTGTTTTAATTTTATTTCCCTGTATAGGGTTTTTACTGTTGAGGATGTTGCTGATTTGTGACTGATTTACACTGTTTAGTTGACTGACCCTTTTCAATTGCTTATATTAACACCTTGATATCTTTGTAAATAGCATGTTTCTTCTACTCTTCAAATTAAAGAAATGTGAAAGTTTTGAAATATCACCCTGACTACTACTGTACCTCAATAAACCCTTTAGGCTATTTCCGTAAATTCCCTATTTGTTTATCATCATTATAATTGATATTCCATGTTATTTTAATTCTGTTCCCTAAAATAGCTCCGCACTAAGAAAAATTGGCTTATAAAATTTGAAATTTGCATCATAAGTTATATAAAAATTAGCTACTTGTTTAAGCATACTTTTATAGGTAATTATCAATTTTATTTGTAAACCATTATAGTATACTCTATCAGGATATTAACAACACTGGTAGTCAGGGTGCATTTCTGTAGAGTACATATTTTATTATATATACTGTATTACAGTCGTCCCTTTCAGTAGAACGCTGAATATGTAAATAATGTGTATGTCAACGTCCTGTTCACAGTATTTATAATAAATACTATATCAATAATCGTGGCCTAAGATGCCAATGGTTCCAAGAAAGTGTGTTCTTCCTTTTTCAAATAATCTTTAAAAAAGAGAAATTAAATATTGAAGTATGTGACCTTTGTGTAATCAATATCTTTACAATGTCAAATTCAATTGTTGTTATCTTCCACCAAATTAAAGCGTAATTTTTGCTTGAGACAGCAAATTACGCCCATTCGGTACAAAATATGCTGAGAAATTATGGAAAAATAACATAAAATTTGTATGTGTATTGAAGGTTGGACACACCTGCTTGATATTTGACTTCTTACAAAATAAAGAACATTTTAGAAGACATCTATATGCCAAAGAAACTTCATCTCTGTGAGAATTTTAACTTCAAATTAAAGATATGAATAAACATGACAGTCTGGCAATGTGGAGTTTTTAAGTGAAATGAAACTTGTCTCTTAACTTTTCATTGTATTTATAAAAACACAAAAGTGAAAGAAAAAAGGTTCCCCATTTTACAGTGCAAAGGTTTAATCTTATCAGTTCTATTTTGATAATTTGTATTGTGTGTCAGTTATGTTCTGTTGTTTACATTCACTTCTGTTTCAGTTACTTTGGGTCAAAGGTTGAAAGGGCAGTGTTTGATGTCCATGCTCTATTTAAATGACCAGCAGATTGTTTTTACTGCAGAAACCAACTTTTCATAGCATGCAGGATACGTACTGGTTTTACATGAAAAAAGAGTAGAGCCCCAGTTGGCTATTTCTGAGACATTCATGGCGTCCAAACGAAACTCATATCGTAATAGCTGTGTCGATCAGCAACATGTGTAGAAAGTCTAGACTGACCTGTAATGAGTTATACAACAAATTGGTACGAGAATTGCACTGCAAATATTGATCAAAGTGCCCTCAGGTGACAACTTTTTAGCACAAATTGGGTGGTGTAAAGCTGTCTATAAAACCATTGTTTATCATCAGATGATCCTCGTTGATCCAAGCTAAGATGAAAATTACCAGGTGTACATTGTATTGTAATGTACCAAGGACCAATAAGTGATTTTCCGTACAATTGCGAGATCTCGCGAGATGTATGAAAGACGCGCGTCGAACGTCTGCCGCAAAAGTCGAATGATTTGATTTTGAACTAGAATTTCTTTATTTCGTAACTCACACCGACCGGCCGATCTTCGACAAAGAATATTGCTTCCGAATACTCTCACTTAATCGAAATTGCCTATCATGAAATGTGGACAGCACATTATTATGCATGGAAATGTCCCCCAAAGTACTTCGCATTTGTCGAATCCCACGCGATGTTTGACGACGCTATGACCTTTGTTTGTCCTGTCTTTACGTTTGCTTTCACGCATAGCGCGTGATTCTCGCAGTGAACGAAAAATGGTCTATTACATTGATATTGATAAAAATACTTGTGAAAATACTTTGTTATAGACACAGAATTGTGAAATTAAGTTACTGTGGAATACTTTATTTTCGCTGGAATTAATTTTCGCTGAAAAGGCTTTTTGGGCATTTTGTATGGAATTTATTTATTAATGTGAAATATAGGAAAAAAAGTATATTTGCTGAATTTTATTTTCACGGAATCATCCCTTCAGCGAAAATAAAGTATTCTACTGTAGATGTTTTTGACTTGCTAGATGTGTGTACTTAATTTCAGCAAAGTTTGTTGGGTGCTTGTGGTAAAAACTGAAAGTATGGTCGTCAACACAACATGTTAGATATTGGTCCCATGTGCCTCTTATGTATATGAAAGTATATTGTTTACTAGATTTTTGATTTTCCATTGCATCATTATAGTGAAATTAGCCAATATTAGATGTGACACTGACGCAGAGATTTATTGTTACAAAACTAGTTATGTTTATTT